TTTCTTTGTTGATGCTTTAACAGCACTTATACTTGCTGTCTCGCTGTGCAGATCTTTTGACTGACTTTTGCTCACTTCCACAGCTCTGCATACGTCAATGGCTTTCTCTAAAGTCAATTCACTTATTCTCAGCAATTTCTCTTGTGTGTTCTTGTCAAGTATACACATAACTATGCGATCTCTGATCATTTCTTCTTTGTGACTGTACTCTGTTGTTTTCACTGCTTTTTGCAGCTCTGTCAAAAACCCATCAAAGGGCTGTTCCTCTTTTTGTACAATGCTATTGAATCGAAATCTTTCATATATCACATTTTTCTTTGGATTACAGTGGTTCCGGAATTCTTCAAGCACTTTATCCAGTGTTCTCTCACCTTCTCCAATATTAAACGTGTTGTACAATTCATGGCCTTCATCACCAACAAAGTTTAGTAAAACTGCAATCTTTTTCTTATCATCCTCTTTTTCCAATCCGGTCGCCGTTAAGAATACTGTAAATTTCTGCTCAAATTTACGCCAGCTTTCGGCTACATTGCCATCAAGGTCCAACGGTTCCGGTGGTCGTAGATACTTCTCCATGTTTCTACCTTTTTTCTCTATCTAGACGAGATCAAAAGGTTTCCACACCTGACACCATGTTTTATACTAGTGTTTGTAATGAAACTCAAGTTACTCAAAACACAGTATAATGATTATATCAAACTACAAAGTATACAATATCTTCGTGCAGCCATCAAGATGCCGCCATCGTCTAAAAGCCTCTCGTCAGGTAGACCCTAATTATTGATTTTCCTAGCTAGTCATGTTGGTTGTCTAAGCTACAGGGGCTATGAGAACCTACTGTCTAAATTAATATTAAACAATAAATATTAACTAATTATACAGAAAATTATCTAGCTCCATAAGGTTATGAGGCCAAATTATGAAAATATCATCTACGTATCGCCACCATGTTTTAGGTTGTTTTTGGTAATTCAAAACTAAAAATACAATGAGATCAATTCTAACTCAAACAAAGCCGAAAAATGAAGAACAATCGTCAAAAAATTGTTTTTACAGTATACCTTGTGTTTGTGGAAAGTTTTATACAGGTGAAACCAAGAGACCTCTTTCAGTAAGGACGAAGGAACATAAGTACAATATAAAGAAAAGAAACATCGATAAATCGAAACTAGCTGAACATATCCTTACTGAAGACGGACAACATATGGCAAAGTGGAATAATATTAAAATCATTGGAAAAGAAGATAACAACCAGAAGAGAAAAATCAAGGAATCTGCTTGCATTCTTCTGAACGGAGACAATAAATAGCATTGCTTCTTGTTCAGTTGATATAGACAGAACATGGTATTCACTACTAAAATCTGAACATGAAAATGGTAAATTCAAGATTAAGTAATGAAAACATCCTGTAACTCCTTTGATTGCCAACGTCACCAATTGTCATTGAAAACTGAAAAGCTTCAAGACATATTATACGACTTCGCAATTGAAAAAATCTCTTCATGTTGAAAACGGGAGCAGAATCGGCCCCAAAACGTCCAAAGATAAGTGAAAATTTGATATTTTTTCTATATACCTTCATTTCTCTTCTCCAAAAATTTTTCAATACAAATTGTCACTGACAAACTAGTGAATTTTTCTTTTAGGCTCTCTGATAGGAAAATTCTTTAAACGCAGTGACATTTTGAGGCAAATCATCTGATTTGTCCTTACTACACGTATATTGAAATAATATTCATATTTTTATTTTATAGAAACGAGGAGAGAAAATCCCAAAAAATTTGGAATAATTATTAAACATTATTTCAAATAAAATTCAGAATAGTAACATGTTATTTTTTGTTATCGTTTACGTGTTGTCACAGATACTATTTTAATATAAGAATAATGAATATATTAATTATTAATATACAACAGATGCTTTAAAGTAACAATAATTACCACAATAAATATATTATATAATAATCACAATTAATGTCGCATTGCATAACTATGCTGCCACTCTACAGCCCCTGGCACGCACATTGTGTTCTGTTATGGGAATTAAATTTTCAGTTGGTAGTGGTAGTGCATCATCAAAATGTTTTTGACCTGGAGCAAGTACTTTTGCTCCCCGTAAAATATTATATAATATGCATGCACATGTAATCAATTTGTCTGTAGTTTCTGGGGCAGTAGCAATAGGTAGGAAAAAGAGTCTGAAATAACCGCATAAAATTCCGAAAGTATTTTCAGTTGTTCTCCGAGCTCTAGATAGTCGATAATTATATACAGCTTTTGATGGATCATGTACTGATTGCTGTCTTGGATAAGGTTTCATCAGGTTTTCGTCCAAATCGTCCATTTTTCACCAGTGCACGATCTACTACTCTCGAGTGAGTACTGACTACTGAGTGACTACGATTGAATACGGTCGCACTACTTCCTAGGAAACCACAGGTTGGTCACCGTAAAGACGGCCGTTAGTTCGCGGACACTCATATTTCATGGTATGTGTGTGCATGGACACAAGCGGCATAAGCCGCAACAGCTATTTATTCTGACCGGGCAGTGACGGCAGTTGCCGTCAAATGCTTGATGCACTGTGAATACGTTTAGAGCGATATCACGTCAATTTTCTGTATGTAAGTGTGTGAAGTGTCCTTCTAGATACCTCGAGTTGAAAAATGTTTGCGGAATTGCGTTGGTGGGGGGAAAAAAAATGGTCAGGAAGTCGAAAGTCGTTTGGCGCGTTTCTGCTATTTAGTTCAGATCTAGATATTGTCAGAGTGTGTGTACTGAACGGTTGGCTGGATGCATACGTAAAATGGACGAAAAACAGGAAGAACAACAGCTACTTACGTGGTTTGATGAAGTTGAGACCGAGGATGAAATATCAGAATTGGATGCTGAAAGCACACACGATCCATTCAGTACTGACGATTCAATAGATGATCCCGAATACACTCAAAGTTATTCTTCATATTCTAGCGGCGATTCGAATGAATATATCTTTCTGTCTTTTTGCTAGCCGGTCCGTCTCGAAGAGAACGAAAAAAACTATCCCAAAATTCAGGTGCACAGCCCGAATTGGAACAAGCCGGCAGCGAAAGTTCACTCGATTCTGATCGTCCAATTGAGCAAGAAGAAAATGTATGGGAAGACACCTAAGGTACCCCTCTAGACTTTACGTTCAACCATGCTTCTGTTACACAAAATATTGAATCCAAGACTCCAGGAGAAGTTTTGGAATTGATTTGGGATGGAGATGTAATGGATTATATCCTCAAAAAAACAAATGCATATGGTGAAACACTCAACGTATCTAATAGACCTAAAACGAGACACGAGCGGTTCAAAATATTCCGAAAAATATCCACCGATGAATTGAAAAAATTTTTTAGTTTGTGTCTTTTTGCTGGCCAATTGAAATTTCGTTCCATTCGAGATTTATTTTCTTTCAATCCACTATATTATCATCCAATATTTCCTGCTACCATGTCAGGGCGAAGATTTGAACAAATTTTGAGGTTTCTCAACAGTACGGATGATAAAAATAAAGAAGACCCTCTTCATAAAGTCAGCTGGTTACTGAATAAAATTATACGATCAAGCCAAAACATACTTTTCCGAGGACGACTGAAACTTCGGGTCTATATAAAAAATAAAAAGAGCAAATATGGAATCAAGTTCTATGAACTGTGTTCAAACGATGGTTTCGTCTTGAATATGGAGATTTATAAAGGTAAATCGAATAGAGAAGATGCCAGGGGAAGTTCAAAGTTGAACTCGTTAGTGCTAAGGCTTCTGGAGCCATTCCTAGATAAAGGTCACCATGTATATATGCATGGATAACTTTTACAACAGTATTGTTTTATCAAAAATGTTATTTCAACGGAAGACGCATAGTACAGGTACATTACGTTCCAACAGAAAAGGTAATCCGAAAGAAATAACCCTGGCTAAACTGAAACCTGGACAGCACGTATGGAAAAGAAATGGCAATGTGTATGTTTCCAAATGGCGTGATAAACGTGATGTTTTGTCTATTACAACAGCCTATCAACCTGAATTGATTGAGACGACTAACAGGTTTGGCAAGAAAAAAACAAAGCCAGTAGAAATGAGTCGTTATAATGAAAACATGTCAGGTATTGACAGGGCTGATCAAATGATTAGTTATCATTCCTGCCCTAGAAAAACTATCAGATGGCACAAAAAAGTCATATTCCACCTACTGGACTTAGCCGTGTGGAACTCGCACTATTTACATAATAAGAGCAATCAAGAAAAAAAATCGTTCAAGGAGTTTAGAAATGAGGTAATCAAATTATTACTCGGGATTTCACCTGATCAAAAAGATGGTAGAGAATTTGTCAAAACTATACCGGAAGGAACTAAATCCATACCATCCAAAAATTCTAGGAAGAATACTGGTCATGTCCTTGAGGCCATACCTATACCAGAAGACTCTAAAAAACATGGAAAATATTATAAGCGCTGTAAGCAGTGTTATATGATGAAAAAAAGAAAAGAAACTGCTTGGCAGTGTCGGGATTGCATAGGCAAGCCACCTCTTTGTGTAGGAAAATGTTTCCAGGATTGGCATGAATAAGTATAGTGTTATCCCTTTTTGATATTTCTACCAAAGCATTATGTACCTGTTGTTCAGTTGTTATAGTTTCAGTTTCTTTATATGAAACATGTTTTTTCCTTTCGAAATACACTGTTTTTTATTTCATTTCTACATGCGGTATATGACGTCACTGTCATTTTGAAAATAAACTATGCTTTTCACGGGTCATGACGTTATTTGACGCAGTTTTTTTTTCTCAGTATTTCTAATTCTTTGGAAAAATGTGATTCTGAAGCTACATTTTGCGTTTCTCTACGTGTAAAACTGTTCATTCTATCACTGTGACAATTTGAGCACACCTGACTTTATCTTGGTGTCCTGATGAAACTAAAGTCAATGACGTGAAATGACGTCAATGTCCGCGAACGTGTTAACAACCGTAAAATGAGAGCATCAGCTAACATAAAGCAAAAACCAAAGCCACAAGATATTATTGTGGATAAACTGGGAGGGTGCTTGGATACCTTTGGGAGGTTGATAGAAAATAGACAAAGTTCTTCCCAAGGGATGGATAAGGGAGATGAAGACTTTGCCAGATCCTTGAAAAGGGATCTGGCAGTATTTACAGCTATAGGGCGAGGGCAGGTGACGTCACATGACAGCTATCTATACCTGTCGATCAGCCTGCTGGACAAACAAGCCATATTGCTATAAACAACAATGGTAATTTAATGATTTTATAATTGAAATTCTGAGGAAATTATGGGTTTTTACCTGAAGGAAGGTAACATAATGTATATTGATATCATTTTTCTACTTGCTCGCAAGAACACTGTTTGTAAGATGGCTGATAAAAGTGATTATTTCAATACATTGTCTATGGATAGAGATATTTAGAAAAGCTGAAAGAAACCAATGGATGTGATCCCTATATATTGAAATTTGGTGATTGTAGTGATGCTGTGAAGAACTTTCCTAAAATTTCAATGTATGACATTATAAACTATTTTGTATATAAGAAGAGTGCATACACAGGAAATGATTCCAAAGCATATAAGAGTTTGGATTCATACAACATGTTCATCAGTAAATGGATCAAAAGGATTGGAGTGAGGTTGGTGAAGAATACTGAAAATACCGGGTGACACAGGGTATCGGGCCACCCCTGTAACTTCTGCTTTCGTCATCGGATTTTTCTGAAATTCGGTACAGTTATATAAGCAATTATTTCGGATTTGATCACATTACAATCCAATATGGCAAACTTCCGGTATTTCTGGAAATGCCAGCAACTTTGTTTTTTCAAATGAAACACTCTGTATATTTTCACATATTCAAGTTCAACAGGTCGAAACAAGTGCAATCCTTATTTCAAATGTCATTTTTTCGAAAAAAAAATAAGTTAAAATTGTTTTTTCATTTTACCTCGTGGATAAATGAGATGTGGTCAAGACTATTGACAATGAGTCACACATAACAGAGAAACATAATTTTTTCTGAAAAATTATTTTTTGTGTCACTTATCCAGGAATCAATTCAGCCACATCACTTTTTGATCAAAAATTATTTTTTTTTTCAAATGGAACCCCTATGGGCCACTCACCCGTCTCTCTAGAACATACATTAAGGAACAAAATGTCATATCATTTTTGTTTTTCGGTGCAGTAACAAATTGTATACATTCAAAAATCAACAACTAGTTTATGAATTTCCTTGCAGTTAGAATAATTTTTCAACTAGGTAGGCTGTGGAATAAATTACATTTGACATCAAGATTGCACTTGTTTTGACCTGTTGAACCTGAATATGTAAAAATATACAGGGTGTTCCATTTGAAAAAACAAAGTTGATGGCTTTTCCAGAAAAACCGGGAGTCCGCCATATTGGATTGTAATGTGATCAAATCTGAAATAGTTGCTTATATAACTGTACCAAATTTCAGAAAAATCCGTTGACGAATGCAGAAGTTACAGGGGTGGCCCGATAACCTGTGTCACCCGGTATATTGATTATTGCCCAAGTGAGTAATCATGCTATTATACTTGAAATTGAAACCCCAGAAATGATACATACCTAAGTAGTCTCAGAAAATTAATAAACCATTTACTTTTTGTTGAAAGTGCAAATGTATCTTGTCGACTTTAGCACATAATTCATTTCATGTTGCTCTCTCTGGAAGACTAGGATGGAATTCCACTATTTTGCTGACATTTGTTTTATGTTTCAGGTGATGCACTCACAAAGGCTGAATTTACCACCACTTAACCCATGGGTAGTAGTTGAGAAGGATGGTGAAATAATAACTGCACATTGTGATTGTGCAGCTGGATTGGGCGAGTGTTGCAGTCATGTTGGAGGTGTTTTATATGCCATTGAAGATGCAATGCGTAATCACAGTGATCTCAGTGTCAAAGATGTAAAGGCATATTGGAAAGTACCATCAAATGTGCTAGGAGCACCTTCAAAAATAAGGGATATTGATTATTCTTTGAAGGCAAAGATAATGATTTTTTTCACTGTATTGAATGAATCTGGAAGTAGTGTATAGTTCTGAATGTCGTTGAACCATTTGCTAGCAGTATTGAGGAAGAGAATGTCCAAAAGTTTGAGAAGCAGAGCCTACAGAATTTATACAATCAAGATTATGAATGCCTTTCCCTGGAACAACTTGTGGCATTGGGCAAAGATCAAGAATTATTTATTGGATGTGTAGAATAATTGCCAAAATAACAAAAGCTCAAGCAAAATCACCAGAGTGGTTCATATTTCGTGAAGGTAGGATTACTGCATCAGTTTTCAAGAATGTCTGCATCACTTAGTTGGAAAAGCCTAGTTTGAGCACCATTAAAAGAATATGCTACCCTAAGCAAGCCTCATTCAAATCCAAACAAACTGATTATGGCTATAATCATGAAAAACAAGCACTGAAAGATTACACTGCATATTTGAAAATTCATCATGTAGATGTTAAAGTGTGGGATATTGGCTTTGTTATAAATCCCTCATGGCCATGTTTTGGAGCAAGTCCTGATTCAATGGTAGAGTGTCAGTGTTGCGGAAAAGGTTGCATAGAAGTTAAATGTCCATATTGCATAAAAGATACTAGGATCGAAGAGCTTCTCAATTTGAAATCTTCATTTTTGAATGAAAGATTATGTGATGATGAAACAAGAGAACTCTACCTTGATAGACATCATGCATACTATTACCAGGTACAGATGCAAATAGCAGTTACTGGTGCAAACTATTGCGATTTTGTGACTTATTGTAATCAACATTATTTATATTGGGAAAGAATAAAATTGAATGATAACTTCTGGAAAACAGAGAGTGAAAAAGCACTGCTTTTTCATGAGAGAGGTATCATGCCAGAACTTTTGGCAAAATATTTCACAAGGCAAGGATCAGGAACTGTAACAAAATCAATAGAATCTTAACCTGGAACTAGCGACACACCAGTTCCAGGAACTAGCAATACACCTGATCCAGGAACTAGCAACACACCAGAATCAAGAACTAGCAACACACGAGATTCAGAAACAAGCAGTACAGACATTTCCCTGTCACTTTCAGGAAATTGGTGCAAATGCAAGAAAAGAGTGCTGATGGATCAAAAATGATGAGATGCTACAATCCTACTGCAAAATTGTATGGTTTCACCCAAAATGCATTGGGATTAGGAAAAAAATTATCAAACAAAAATGGTTTTGTCCAGATTGTACAAAAGTTAACTTTGCAAAAAAAAAATAAAGTAGATGTTAATCAAATATATTTATTATCATTTCAGTATACCTAGTCCTAATAAAATTCTCGAGAATAAAGATATATTAGTTTTTTATTCATCACATTCATATACACGTACTACAATAATGCATGGAGAACATTGAATGAATGAAATATGCACTCTTGGAATACAATGAATGAATGAGGTATGTATAAAATATATTAAGTTGAAATATTCACTAATATTAAAAAATATTTATTGTGAAACACAGACAGTTAATAATCAAGTGATAAATTTATTATATGTGTCATTACATAATAAAGCAAAAAGTTACAGAATAGGTAACCCTGGTTACCCGCATATATTATATAATATTTAATGGATTGTAAATACTAATTGTGATACATTTATTTTACACATGACAATTTTCCCATAGAAATAGAATTAGTTGAGATAGTACATCAGTTAGTTAATAGATGCCACAAACCATTGATGAAAAGCAATTGAACAGTCCCTATTATATAATTGTGTCAATAAGGTACTGAAGATGGACATAAATTCATGCATGCACAGCAAACTGTCAACATTTTATCAATCACAGGAACATTATTCTGCTTGAACTTGATCAGGTGCATGGGTAAGGTTGAAGATGTTATTTTATATTTATTTCTTATTGAACCAATAACTCGCTCAACATGTATTCTTACATTTGCAAGTTTTCTAGTTTCTTCTACTTCTATGGGATTGAGTTGCTTTTTGTTTTTCATAAATGCTGGGATTATTACTTCTGCCAAGTGCAAGCGTACTTCATCCTGCATTAGAATTCCTCTATCAGCAAGTATACAATCACCAGGTAGAAGATGATCAAGACCACAATTTTCAGTCACAAATTCATCACTACATCGACCTGCAAATGCCTCTGAAATGAACATAATTGATCCCTGTGGAGATATTCCTATTAGAAACTTTATTGTATTGTGATTTGTTTGTAACTACTAAAATGTTGTGATGCAGCTTGCTTGTTTTTGGGTGTTTCTGTGAAAATTTCAAAGCAATCAATAATGATTGTTACTTTACCACCAAAGTATTCTCTGAAACATCTGAGTACATTTTTCTTCAGTGTGTCTCTTTCTGGCCACACTTTTCATTTCATCCTAACATACATCACATGCAACAATTTATAAAAAACTCTACTGACTGTTCTTCGTTCAACATTAAACCTATGTCCTAGATCAGTGAAGAGAAAATTCAATCGTAACTTCATGAAGAAAATAATAAACAATTGGAATTTTGATAACACAGATTAAGGGTGTGTTATGTACTGCTCAACAAAATTATAGACCACAACCATCTTTTCATGAGGTAGTCCTGTATGAAAAAGGAATTCACCTGGATTATGCTTTAAACTTTCCATTGTAAAAGTATAAGTCCCCAAAGTTTCCCGGAGATGATGGATTTCACTATAACAATTCTGCAATTCAAAATTGATGTCTGGGCACTGATGTCCACCAGAGTTTTGTACATGTTCCACTTCAACAACACTTTGATTCATTTCATTCAGAGCTTGATCTTGTTCAATAATTTCATCATCCAAATTTTGACTGAGGTTTTCATGCAAAGGAAAATTACCAATTCTATCCAAATCAACAACCAGCATATTTGGGTTCTCCTTCTCTTCACGAAGGCTCTTACGATTCAACCTCTGGATGCTTTGAACCACATTGATATTTTTTGAATACCGAAGTGACTGATTTGGCACCCAGTCTATATTGTCAACATCATTCAATGCACTTGGCTTGCCTGAATAAAATCAATTTTCATAATGACTATGCTTCCTAGATTCTCAACATACCTCCTACGAAATGTTTTGAACATACTGTTGCCCATTTCAACTTCTCATTAGTTGAATCAGCTCTTTCAGTTGCCTGAATCCACATCTCACGTCTCTTTTCAGCAAGAGGATTAATATTTTCCCTATTATCGAAAATCGAAGGGAATCGGTGAAAAGAACAAGCGTCTATGAACACCGAAGGCGCTCCGCATCCGATGATGTCCGATCACCTTCGGATCATTCGCAGCTGCCTTTCGCGCGCGTTTGATTTTCACCCAGCTACTTCTTATTATTTGTGGTTATATACAGATTGTCAACTTGTTTTGTACTTGTGTGGATTTTGGCAGTGTATTTTTTTGTTTCTCCAGAATGACTTGGTGCCCTATTTGTAATAAATCGTTTCACAACGTCAGAAGTTTGAGGGAACATGCAAGAAAAAGCACCTTTAGAAGATTTCTGGGAAAAGTCCTGTAAAGAACGTTTTTCGCGAATGAGGGACATTAGGCACATGTCTTTCTTTACATTTCACATATTTTATTATTCAACCATTACTTTTATATACTTGTGTAAAGTATACAAGAGGTGGCCCATCGAGAACTATCATTATATTTTATATTTTATCATTTATACCTTATGTCAAGTTATTGATGGGCCACCTTGTATGCATTACTCATTGTTAGCTATTATATCTATATTGAGTCCAAAAAAATGTCAGAATATTGGGGCCCGTCCAGGCCCAAGTATCCACAATTTGCAACTTTTCAAAATGTGCGTAGCACATGAACATTTTATCGAATTACTTTCAATCCTAAAGAATTAAAAGGTTTTTTCAGGTATTTTGCTTGGTGGCTATACAGAGTGGGCCTTTGAAAACGAAACAGAGGCTCTGTATGCCGCCAAAACCGGATTATGAAAAGAATCTGAAACACGTCAACTACGTTTTCGAGGGGGACATCGTCCTACAATATTTTCAGCCCTGCGGCGTTGCCGCTGCTAACGAAAAGAAGCAACAACTTTGTTATTTCAAATGGAACACCTTGTATTTCATTGCATTTTTAGATTCTCCCCGAAGAGCTGATTTCATCAATGCATCACACTTGGGGTCTAGCTGTAATGGTTTCAGGGATATAAAGTGTTCAAAATCGAGATTTTTCAACTTTGACATTTTTTTGTGTCGAAACTATTCATTATTGGTCGAAACGGCTCTCATGTCCCTATCTCAACTCGTGATTCACTATCTACTGACATTTAATTGGAACAGATACAGGGTGAACAGAATTCTGAATCTTGAACGACCCTGTATTTGTTTTAAATAAATGTCAGTAGATAGTAAATCACAAGTTGAGATCGGGACATGAGAGCCGTTTTGACCAATAATGAATAGTTTCGACACAAAAAAATGTTAAAGTTGAAAAATCTCGATTTTGAACACTTTATATCCCTGAAACCATTATAGCTAGACCCTAAGTGTGATGCATTGATGAAATCAGCTCTTCGGGGAGAATCTAAAAATGCAATAAAATACAAGGTGTTCCATTTGAAATAACAAAGTTGTTGCTTCTTTTCTTTAGAAGCGGCAACGCCGCAGGGCTGAAAATATTTTAGAAAGATGTCCCCCTCGAAAATGTAGTTGACCTGTTTCAGTTTTTTTTGATAATCCGGTTTTGGCGACCTACAGAGCCTCTGTTTCGTTTTCAAAGGCCCACTCTGTATACTGTGATCATTTTCCATATATAAGGTTATTGCCCTGATGCTCATATAGGCGTTTCTAGATGTGCAGACATTTGGTACCTCTATATTCAACCTTTTTATTCTTTCCTGTAGATGAGAGAAATTTAGTAATCAAAGAGAGCTTTGATTG